AAATTATAGTATTTGCTTTCTTTTTCCCGGTTCTCGTTCAATGCTAATATTTGAGGATGAATGACGTTCAATTTCCTAAGGAAATGAAGGTAGATCTTCAGTTAGTCCATCAAAAGTTGTACTTTCAGTAGGTCGACTAGCCCTTTGGAAGAATGAAAACAAGTTCTTATTCTTCTCTAGAAGAGATTGACCTTCCATTTTCAATTCTTACAATTGCAAAAAAAAAGGTAAAAAAGAAAAAATCAATCATCAATGATATTATTCTAGCGAAAATAAAAAAATAATTCACTAAATTGATAAGGCAACAACAACAACCATTAAACCAACAAGACAACAACAAAAATCATTAAACCGACAAGGCAACATGCTAACAAGGCAAAAATAAGTTATTAAGCCGACAATGCAACATTTCAACAATAATTAATTAAATAATTCAATATTTTGCTGGCAAGGCCCCAAGTGGAGAGACGAGGGCATTTACTTACAAGTGACGAGGGACTATATTAAGCTCTTGCAATTTGCTTTTCCTACATGTTCGTTGGACCAGGACAGCGTCTATGCTTTGATAATGATAAATTTACTGCATTTTTGAAATTGAAAAATAATTCAATTAAGCATGTTGACAATCAAAATCTAAGAAAATTTTGATTTTTAAAAAACTTATACTCAATAATCAATATAATATTAATGACAAATATATATAAAAAAATGGTCCAAGTTATAAAATATAAGTTACTACCGTACAAGTATACATTTTTTAAATATTTTTTATTTACTTTACAGTTATTGCAGTTGTTTCTTTTTTGTATTTTGTGAAAATCAATCAAAATAATTTAAACAATATAAAAATAATGACTTTAAAAGATAAACATGAGATGAGATAATATCTATAATCTATTCGTGCTTTAAAGTTTAAATCACATACCACAAACAGACAAATTGACAAACAATTCTTATTCTTTAATTAATTAACTTTTGACTTTATCACTTTAAGAATCTTCCGTGTCTACAATCTATATAAAAGGCTATTCTTCTTCTTTTATTTTCTAAGTTCCAACACTTCCAGGCTCGGGCCTCCCATTTCCGTTTTCAGATTTTAGATTTTCTAATCCTATACAAAATGGTTTGCATTCTTCTATATTATCATGTGTCTCTGTGAGTTGAAAATGTGTGAGAAAGAGAGAGTTGAGAACACGTGTTGACTTAAAATCGTATGTTCTGTCTTCTTTTTTTTTTTTTTTTTTTTTTTTTTTTTGGAAGTAAAGCTCTAACTCAGATGAAAACAGACATTATAACTGTTAAGAATAGAATAACATGGGCTTTAAATGGAAGTGATTTCTGAAATTTTCAATTTAGAAAGTAGAATTATTTTTTATATATGCATGTGCAAGAGCCTCTATTAAGCTATTTTTCAATATTTCAACGTGCTAACATTACCTTAAAAATAACATGGCCTGTGCATCGGACGGGCAAAAGACTAGTATTCTAAAAAAATGAGCAAACAAAACGACGCCTAGGCAATGAGTGTCATTTATTAATTCTTTTTTTTTTTAATCTAAAAGCATTTTATTTTACTTTAAAGTTTTTAAATGACTTTATTTGTACAAAAATATAGAAAAATGAAAACACGTAGAAGTGTAAACTATGAAAAATAGTAAAGTTTTTGTATTTAGAAAATTTGAAAATTGTATAATTGAGTAATTGTAAAAATTATTAAGTAAATATAGTATTTTGTAACTTTAGATATTTGATATGCATTATTTAAGTAATAAATAATTTTTAGAACGACTAAAAATTTATAAGAATTTTTAAAGTAAGAAACATATTTTTACTCCTAGGCTTGTTTAGACTAATAAATTTTGAAATTTGGCCTTCAAATTCAGTGACGCTTTATGCTTTTTAAAATGTTAACATATTTTGAATCAACGGGACAGTTAAGTCATAAATAAGTATGAAATTAATGGTTCAATGGAGCTTTTTGATTGAAGCAGTAGTCTACTAGAATTTTTATAATTTTTATAAAATTCGTTTGTGCAATCAACATATTTTGCAATTTCAAAAAAAGAGAAAAACAAATTAGAACTCATCCTTCATCACATTTCAGAATTTAAGACTAATATAATTCTATTAGGAATTTATTGGGCTAGCATACCTTTGCTTTACATTTTGACGTATGTTTCATTTCGGGGTCTGTGATGTAAACTATAAAGTAGAAATATCAATTAAGTTGGAAAAAGTGAGCACCAAAAGTAGGTTCCCCCCGAGGAGACTCCAAACAAAATGGAAAAACGTGGTGGAAGTTGGCTACATAAAGTAATAATTATCAAGATATTACATGAATAATAGCATTTTTAGAAGAGAGTACAAATTACTTATTTGGCACAGCTTTTTGTGAACTCAAAAGCGCGTTTAGGAAAAGCAAAAGAACATCAATTGAAAATCTAAAGGCTCGTTACGCTTCTTATAGATGAATTTCTTGAAAAAATTACTTTATGCAATTTCTTCCAATCAAGCAAAATACTTTCAGAAAATTATCAATCTCAAAAGCAATTAAACTTTACAAAAATAATGTCAAATAAATCCTAATTATTCCATTGAAATTTTATTTTATTAAGGCTCAAATATATTGTATTATGGATTGGTAAATTGATGGGAAATGTATGGTTGAAAGATAAGAATATTTTTTTAAATTTGCATGTAATATTATTTTAATAAAAAAGTATGGTTGTAAATAAATACTGTAGAAAAAACAATAAAAAAGAATGCGAAAAAATGAGGCTCAAATAGGACTTAAAAAATATTGAAGGTAAAGTGTTCAATAATTAAAAGTTTTCATTCTTTTTGAAAAGAAAATATTATGACGTCAATAGCAAGAAAAAGAAATACAAGTACATCTTGACCGTTGAAGCCAAAAAAAATAAATAAATAAATAAATAAAAAAGAAGAAAAGAAAAAGAAAAAGAAAGAAGAAGGGAAATTTGTGGACCACCGGCCATTTACTGTATGAAGGTATCAACTTTCGAGCATCCGTCCAATTGTTTGTTGAGATGTGACCCCTCCCACCAGCTCCGGTCTTCTCAATTTTTGTCTTCAAGTCAACAAATGTATCAATTTTGAAATCAAAAAAACTTCTTATTTTGTTTAGAATTAAGCTACTACTAACGTTTCTATGCATTTGTTTATAAATATTTTTACAATCGAAAAAATTTAAAAATAAATTATTTTAATAAATTTAATTTACTAATTAAAATTCAATCGATAAATAAAGTAATAAAATTAAATTAAATAATATTGCTAAAAAAACTATCACTAAACAAAATAATCTCTCAAACCATTTAAATTTCACTATACCAACTATTAGAAGTGCTAATATATTATTACTAAGAATTTAAACTAAATATTTTTCCATTGGGGTAATGCATTATAACCCTCAACGAGTTTGGTGGCCTACTTGAACATTGGAAATGCATTTCGTCCTGCGCGTAAAAATTGCTTAACGATTAATCTATAAGTATGTTCAATCTTTTCTCTCGATTAGATAGATAAGAAGATTAATATTAGAGTTAATTGTTCCAATGGTCGCTGAACTTAAGTTCATGTCTTTAATTGGCCACTATAATTTAAAATATCGAGTTTTGGTTACTGAAGTTCATGTCTTTAATTGCTCACTGAACTTAGGCATATGTTTTCGATTACTCACTAAAATTTAAAATATCGAGTTTTGACCACTGAATTTTGGAATATGTCGTACGTTACTTACAGCATAGCTGTTGAATTTTGAAAAATATCAAGTTTACAGTGAAAAATGTACAGCATTTTTCAAAGTTCAGCAAGTAATGTACAATAATTTTTAAAGTTCAGTAGTCAAAACTCAACATTTTAAATTTCAATGAGCAAAATATATATATATATATCTATATATACCTAAGTTCAGTGATCAAAACTCGACATTTTAAATTTCAATGATCAATAAAAAATATGGACATAAGTTTAGTGACCATTGGAACAATTAACTCTTAACATTACACATGTTACTAAACATAGTTAATTAAGGGTACGGCTATTTACATCCATGATTTTTATAAATTCATCCCACTCTATATACATCCCTATTGAAATATTAAAATTTTAAAAAATTACTATTTTCATCCATTTTATTTTCCAATATTGTCCTTATTGAATTAATTCATTTAAACACTATATATCCATATCAATTTTATATATCAGGTGAAAATAAATCCTAAACTAATTTTCAAATATTTTCTTACCTTGTAGCACTTGAATTAGTTTCTTGATAATACAAAAACCTAATTGACCACACTCTACTCTTCTTACCTGTTGATCAATGGAGCAGTTTGGACCAAAACCCTCACTTCTTCTTCATATTTGAGCCTTGTGACCATGCAGAACTCATTAAACGAAAATCTGATGAGTTTCCCTACAACTTTAAACCACATCTTGTCGTGACCTGCAACACCTCCATCGGTAGCATTTTGTGTATGGTCTGGTGATGCAAACGAATATCGTGCATCTTGAGGAAGTGGCAGAAGCAAGTCTGCGAGAACATATCCTTCTGTGCTTGGTTTAAATGCTTGTTAAGATCAGAGATAACATCGTTCTTGAAGAAGACATTTATGCTAGTGCCAACCCTTTTGTTCGGCGCTATGCAAAAAAGGGATTTCTGTAATGTTGAATAATAACATAGTCAGCAACATTCTATCGAAATACCCGTACAAAACATGTTACTCATGTAATGGAAACAGGAAAATCAATGTTAATTGGGAAGGGCATGTTTGATGGCACCTGACCAGCTCATAATTGATACGCCTAGGACTATATTTTTGAAGTAAAAAATGAAAAAAATTAATTGCACAGTATTTCATGAAATTATTTTTAAAAAACAGTGATGGGCAAAATTTCCTCATCAATTTAAGTGGTGAAATAAATGGGCCAAAACATACTATAGCCCATTAACCAAAACCTAAAAACAAAAGTTCCAAAATGAATTTATCTATTCTGTTCTTCACATCTTCTACTTCTCTCCAGCTGCGTGTCTTCTACTTCTATCATCTGCCGACTGCTTCATCTTCTATTCTCTTCACTATCACACGTACAATTTGTATATATCTATTGAAATAATGGTGTTGTTCAAGGTTGATTTTAGATTTTTTTCTTTTTTATTAACTGAAATCTTGTACAAGAGATTCAGCAAAGAGATTGGAACTCTAGTGGCTAATAGGAGGCGAGAAATGGTATTAAAGTATTCTTTCTTCATACAAGAAATTTTTTTAACGAAAATATTATTTTTGAAACCCGGATAAACCGTGACCGGATGGTTTTCCAGGTTTTGTACCGCTTTCCATGTATTCGATTTTCATGTTTCACCGGACCGGCTATCACTGGTCCAATGACCCGCCTATTTGAAAATTAAAATCGTCCACAATTTCGAATAAAATGCCTTTCTGATTTCCAAGATTCCCAAGAAGGCCTCTCTCATTTCAAGAGAAATTCAAAATGGCAGAGAACGAGGAGCCTGGCCAGCCAGATCCTGAAAATGATAAAGACAAAGAAAATTCCAGAAATGTCGATGATAATCAATAATCGGTCGAACGGGTAGTCACTTCTGGGTATTTCGTTTATGAAATTTTGTCCAAATTACCACGTGAAAGTTTGCTAGATGACCTTCATGAAGTCAGCCCATTGTGGGCTGCAGTTAAGACGAAATTAATTTCCGACTTGAGATTGGAGGCAAAACAAAGAATTGCTCACTGTCTTCTTCCTAGAGAAACGGTAAAATACTTCCAATTTCTAGGGTTTTACTTTCTAAATTGCAATACTGTAGGGTTTTAGTTATTCTGATTTCTTCTACGGTAAATTCTCCATACTGCAAGTTAAATAATTTCTGGGGTTTTGGATTTAGGTTTTTGAAGGTGTGATCCGGAACATTGCCAATGTAGAATCACGGGATGTAATGTTCTTGGCGGACGTGACGTTTGTTGGGGCAACTGGTCCAGAAGGTAATATTTTATTAAAACATAGTTATTTTTTTTAGTTCTGTTTTTTTTATTTTTTATTTTTTGGTTTAGGGTTTCTTTTATTTATCTAGGTTTCGAAATTCGATCGAGGGAGTACATTCTTTCTGAAGTTGAAGGCAGTTTATCTGGTACTGATGGTAATACCACTGAGGACGATGGTGATGAATGAAAATTGGAATATCCGGTTTTCTTGCAGGAACATTTTTGATAGATTGATACTATTGATCATATTTTCGAGTTCATGAACATTGGAATATACGATTTTTTTGTACGAACATTGTTGATAGATTGATATTGATCATATTTTCGAGTTCATAAATCATGACAATAAAATCGATATTTTCTCCCTTTATATTTTTCATTTTTAATTTATTTTTTATTTCATTTTTTTTATTTTCTTTTTGTATTGAATTTTAGATCAATTTTAATTTATCTAATTTCTACTAGAAATAAAAAGTCACAAAAAAATATGGTGAAGAATCTAAGTTAATATCACTCCGTACCAAAAATAGTCCATATCTTTGTGAGCTTATACAGTAATATTTGAAGAGTTCTTTGTGTGCAAGAGACAATTTTTTGTGCTCTTCCTTATTGAATTAATTCATTTAAACACTATATATCCACACCAATTTTATATATAAGGTGAAAATAAATCCTAAACTAATTTTCAAATATTTTCTTAACTTGTAGCACTTGAATTAGTTTCTTGATAATACAAAAACCTAATTAACTATACTGTCTTCTTACCTGTTGATCAATGGAGCAGTTTGGACCAAAACCCTCATTTCTTCTTCCTATTTACCGAATCTTCAACTTGATTCCTTGCAACAGAAGCAATCGATCTACTCTTCTTCAATCCATTAATGCTTAGATTTGTGAAAGATGTCGAATAATTTATAAAGTCAGAAGCGATCTGATGATGCCCGGCTCGACGACTCGGGGACATATAGGTTGAAGTTCTCTGAACGATCACTCTTGACCTTGCCAGTTGCATCACCCTGCATTACACCTACCAGGATGAGTCTTTTGGATCACATTTTCTAGGGGTATCCTTGTCAAAAGAAATTTTCGAGGCAGATTTTGGCCCGAGTGGAACAAGTGATTTTCCATCTCCTCCTCCTTCCATCCCACATTCATAATTCATTAACAGCAACTTCTTTGCTATATTCCAAACATGAACCTGTTAATCCACCTCCTGCCGTCGTCTCCTCTTTTGGAATCCCAGCATCTATACATATGTCCTTGACAACGGGATAATTAACCTCCTTAGAGCTCATTACCAACTCAAGCAATTCACATTCTGTTATATTTTTATCAGTATATACATTTGTGTCTGTCTCAAACAAATCTAAAGCAGAAACAGACGATACAGCAGAATTTTCGGGTTTTTTTTCATTTCCATGGATAAAATCTTCAGCTTTCGAAGAACATTCAAGTTCTGATCTATTCGGTAAATTTTCTTTATCCGTCATATCCGAAACCCAGGGATCTGTAATACTATCACGATCATTATTGAAGAACCTCTTTTGGTCTTCCATCGTTGGAGAAAGTCTACTTCCATTTAAATGGTGACCGCGTATCTAATTTGATATCCTTTTTCTTTTTCTTTTTTTTTTTTCCACTTATATTTCTTTTCACTAAATTCTTTTGAAAACCTTCTCTCTCTCTTTTTTTTCTTTTTCGTTGGAGAAAGTCTACTTCCATTTAAATGGTGACCGCGTATCTAATTTGATATCCTTTTTCTTTTTCTTTTTTTTTTTTCCACTTATATTTCTTTTCACTAAATTCTTTTGAAAACCTTCTCTCTCTCTTTTTTTTCTTTTTCGTTGGAGAAAGTCTACTTCCATTTAAATGGTGACCGCGTATCTAATTTGATATCCTTTTTCTTTTTCTTTTTTTTTTCCACTTATATTTCTTTTCACTAAATTCTTTTGAAAACCTTCTCTCTCTCTTTTTTTTCTTTTTTTAAAGAAAAAAAAGAGAGAGAGAAGGTTTTCAAAAGAATTTAGTGAAAAGAAATATAAGTGGATGAATTTAGAATGATACATTTTTATTTAATTTTACATATGTCCGTTTAGGTAAATTTACATAAGATTAAAAATATAATATAATTATCTTTTAAAAGGTGGATGTATATATAAAAATCGTGGACGTAAATAGCGCCGCCCAATAAGCATGCCGAAGCGTAATTATTAATGTCACGTAATATGGCTAGCATCGTGTAATTAGTTAAGGCCCTATTTGAGCTTTATTATTTTCTCGTTAAAATGAAAAATATGATCGTTATCCATCACATCAAGCCATTATATTTGACTTTTTATTTCTTGCGTGGATCTTATAACAGTCATATTTTTTATTTTCATTTTTACAATAATGTGACTCAAACGGGGGCTAAAATGAAAAAAAGACAATTGATCACTAATTATAAATTATAAAATGGGTAATTATATTACCACTCCAAAAATTGCCAAGCACACCGCAACAATTTTCTTATTTACAAGAATATACTTAAATGAAAGAATTAAGCTTCTCTATCAAGCTTGTAAGAGGTTTGGTAGAGCCTCTCTCTCTTATTTTCTCTTACCTTGGTGGGTCCTCCTTGTTCAAAAAAGGACCGTGCTAGATTTACATTAGCATGTATATCGGGGTGTCCCTCGGCATTGGCCAAGGCGCTTGCTGCGCTGGGGCCCACAGGCGTCTTGGCCAATGGCGAGGCGCCGAGTGTGTACATCTAGAATAATCTTTAAAAAAATGGATCATTCTTGATGTACATAATTTTTGATCCATAGAGTTGTTCATACACTTATATGGGGTGGGAATCGCCTAAATATTTTAATCAGGTGAATCCCATCCCATATGAGTATATGGACAACAATTATGTACAAATGGAATTGTCCTAAAAAAAAATATACCGTGCTAGTTGTACATTAGCATGTACATTGGGGTGTCCATTATGGACACACCAATGCCGAGGTGCTTGCCGTGCCCCACGCCAGCTATAGCGCGGTCCTAAATAAAATGACATAAATAACCTTTTGATTTTCTCACACTAATTTTTATGTAAACGGCACACCACAGTATATCACGACTCACTCAACCAATAATCTTGTTCTCTTCTATATGTTATCACCGGAGGTGGAGTTAGGGTGGCACAGAAAGAACCTACCAAAATACAGAGAGGAAAATTTTCCGAGTGATTAAATTGTACAACAAAAGTCAAAAAAATGAGAAGATACAAATAATCGCCAATCAAAGATCACGGGAGACCCACCTTAATCTGCCCATTTGCACCAACCACATGAAGAGCAAAAATCAAAGCAAAAGCGGAAAGGGTAATATCGATGCGAAGAAATCATGATTCATGCACAGTGAGTGACAGCAAATGCCTTCGTGGTCTTTGCTGTCACGGGCGAGCAGATCAAGTCGAAGTTGGAGGCGTCGTCGGACGCTACCTTGTTGGAGGTGCAGGATGTATCGGACAACCCACTGCCTCCCCTGGTGATAAAAGATAGAAGAGAAGTTCTCTTTACAATCAACGAAATTCATTGAACTTCTTTTTGCACCATTATGGTTATGTATAGCCCAATTCAAATATGACTCGCTACTCATTGCCTTAATACTACCCACCATCTCTTTCCAAGTAAAACAAAAACCAAAACAAACAATACACTACAAATAAATTCCAAAAATCTGAAACTTCGGCAGAGAATCATTTTGCTTTTAACGTCGAAAAATTCCCCAAAAAAAAAAGGCTCTTGAAACAGCTCACACAATGCCTTTACTTCAGTTTTGCCTCTCTCTCTCCCCCTTATGAGGATATACAATGAAGGTTAACCAAAAAATGTAAATGGCTACAACCCTGAGAGTGATGGATCTTGAGTTCCAGAAAAGGTGAAGGAATAAATGTGGTTTTATTGCTTCATAAGCAATCTGGACGGCGCTCGACCACCAACAAAAGCCATATGCTTCCGCAAGGTTTACTGTTACATTTTCCCAGGTTTACTCAACCCATTCTCCTTCAATTTCTCTATAATGTCACCTGTAATTTTACATGCTATAATCAAATTCAAAAAACTAAAAGATACAGACAAAATTTAACACAAGATCATGCATGCGAAGCTGTGAGAAATTCCAAATAAAGACTCCAAAATAACAGTTAGACATCAAATTAATGACAAGCAATCAAGGAAACATACAACACAAGGTTCAAAGTCATCAGAAAAAGAATTGAGAGAGAGCGTTTGAAGATGTCACTGATCCTCCGAAGCCTTGGGCCAAAAATTTTGTCGTGTTCTTATATTTCTTGTGATCTATTTTGAGAATTTTTCAGTTGAGTCACAAAGTGGTAAATACTCTGGGACCAACACCAACCCTATTATCTGATCGCCTGGTAATAAAATCCCAGTATATACGGCGAAGTTTGCAGATGTGCACGATTATGGCTGCAGATTTACACCCCAGTGTTCAGAATCAAGCCTAAAGCCATTAAAACACGCTTACAACATAGTGTTTCAATGAAGCCCCATTGCTCTTTGATGAGGAATGGGCAACAAAACTAACTGAATCAAGCTTGGATAGAGGTTGTGTTTGGCTGCTTTTTTTTAGTTGAGTTGCTAAAGGTTTAGCCAATCTCCATAATGAGCTCAAATTATGTATTCCTCTGTATAGTATGCTATGTTTGACTTAGCAATATCATAACTTGAAACTAATAAGTATGGCAGAGAAAGTCTACGCGCGGAGAGGTTCTCTCTCTCCGCACTGCTCAGAGAAGGTCTATGCGTGTGGAGAGTCTCTCCGCTCTCCGCTTAGGGAGGAGACAACTCTCCATGCAGGCGAAGAGGTTCTCTCTCTCCCCGCTAGTTGATTTTGCCATTGCCATAAATTCTTTTAATAACCATGCACCGCATAAATTCTAATGAGTCAAACTGATACAAGGCATTAATTCTCAACTTCCTTCAGCCGATTACCTACATAATTTGCAAAGATGTAATTCTTAAGAAGCCAATATTTTTGAGCCAAAATTCTAGAAATCCATTTGTGCCCCATTTATGTAAATTGAATGTGTCAATTACGCCCCAAATTAATGTAAATCTAATCTTACACAGTGGCAGATCCAGGTACTGGCGAGCTAGGACGGCCACCCTAGCTAGATCCGCCGGAATGTTCATTATTGCAGTCATTAGCAAGCTTGTCCGCCGGGAAGAAACTTGGAAAGCAGAGCTGCAGCAGGAAAGATGAAGAAAATGCTGGGAAATTGGGCCTACTCCCCCCCCCCCTCCCACATTTTGGGCCTTTTTTTTAAAAAAAATAAGGCCCAATTTCAATGGCCCAATACCTTGAAATTAATGGACGGCTGGAGTGAATATATGTCCATTGCATTCACCAATTTGAAGAGTCCAAACTCCAAAATTGAAACCAATTAACCGAGGGCTGAACGGACTGCTGAAGGCGAACTGGCGAATGGCGATTGCGAAGACAGTGGACTGGTGCTTGGCAGAGTGGTGCGAGTTGAGTGGATGGTGAGTCGGTGACCGGTGAGCCGTGAGCAACGAGGAGGTGGATGATGGAGTGGTGCGATTGTGCGAGTTGAGTGGACGCCGATGGCTGCGAGTGCGACTTCTTGCCTTGGTGAGCTATTATGGCTTTTTATTTTATTTTTATTTTTTTGATTTTGATGATTTAATTTGATTGTTATGTTAAATGTGATGATTATGATTTATGAAAATTGGGGAATTTGTAAATATGTGAATTGGGAAATTTATGATTTGTGAGAAATGTTCAACTTGTGTTGGAAATTAGAAATTGGAAATTGATTATAGTTTAAGTCTTTAAGACTAAGTTTAATTTATGTTTAATTTTCATACAGATTATGTTAACTGGGAAAATTACTGCAGTCTTGATTCTTGAGGTTAATAAACACTTTTGTCTTCATTTTAATTTTTTTTTTGGCATTGAGGTGAGGGCCTGTATGATGAATAAATGAGAATTGTGATTTATGATAAATAATTTATGTTGTATGAGTTATGAGTTATAATTTATCATTCATGATATTTGATTTGTGATTTGGGAATTTAGGTTTAGGAAATTATGAGACCCCATAAAATGCTGTCGTCTAAGTTTATAGTATCGTACATTTTTTTTTTTTTTTTTTAGGTTGTATTGAATTATATTTTCATATATGTATACTTTTTATGTATTAAAGCATTTACATATGTATTGAATTATATTTGCTATCGTTGATTGTCAACGGTCATGGGTCAGCAATCAATCTCTCCACCCTAGCTGAACTACAATGTTGGATTTGCCCCCGTACATACACCGTGGATCATGAATAGGTACAGATGCATATTTATTGTCATAATCCATGTCTTTTAAAAAATCCCAAGAATATAAAAGGTTACGGGACTTGGTAAACAAAAGTTTAAAAAGCCTGCAGGTTGCAGACTCTCCAAATCCCCATATTCAACCAATCGCGTGAAGATAGAGATAGCAGGACTCAATGACCAGATATCTTAGCGGGAAAATTGCAACAGCAGTCACTAACCTTTTCATTTTTTACAGACTTTACTCTAACTTTCATTTTATGCTAGCAGAGGTTCCTAACCATTCGTAAATTTGTACCTGAAGTCCATCTGGACGAAAATGTCCAAAACACCGTCAGTTAATCGAGAAAATTAAGGAATTAACATCGAATAAAATCGTCAAAAACACTGTCCTATAAGGTATCAACATCCAATAAAATCGTTGCGATAACAGATAGTTCAAGAAATTTTTCCAGTCAACTGATAGTGTTTTGGATGGTTTCCTTCTAGATGGACCTCGGACGCATATTTATGAAATGCTAGGAACCTCTGTTAGCACAAAATGAAAGTTAGGGTAAAATCTACAAAAAATGAAAAGGTTGAGAACTGCTGTTCCCTATCTTAGCCGTTACAGATTTTGTCTTTCTCCATAGCTTTGCCCCCACATTCTTCAATGCCCCACCATGTCAGAAGGCCATATCATTAAGCCATATTATCAAAATAATCTATTTCTTATCGTCAAAGTAGAATCCAAGATAACGACATAACGTTACAAGATTCGGAAACAAAATTTCTAAACACCTGCAGATTATTATAATCCCCGTATTCTCATGAAGAAATGGATAAAAAGACACAATGAACAAATTCTTAGCCGTTACAGAATGACCCTTCTATTTTCTTCCACAAGTTTTTCCCTATAGTCTTTAGCGACCGACCATGTATAAGCTTAACATTTACAACTAATTCTTGAAAAATCTGGCAATCAAGTGGCATTACCATTTCACATAATCAAATGTATACGAGTCCAATAATCTCATCATATACGGCAAGGCTATCAAGCCTACACAAGCATGTAAGAAAGGAAATAAAGCAAACTAAATACAATGCACAAAGTTTTTTTTAAACACTCATCAAGCACACACTATGCAAATAGTAAACAAACGTATTGATGGAATGTGATAGATTCAAAACAGATTACATGCCGATAGTTTAGTATCCAAAATGTGTCACCATTCAAAATATGCCACCACCCTCCAAACTTATACAGTACATTGCCCTCAATGTAAAAGTAAAAGTTTAAAAAGGCATAATTTGAAAGACAAGTACAAATTAGAAATAACAAAATGAGTTAAACAAGACTCCACTGATCACTATAGTGGTGGTGACTGGAAACTGGATCTCACAATGTCGTCTCCTGGTAGGGGTGAGAGATTGATCAAAATCTGCCTCAATAGGTCCGATTGCTGGACCTGCTCTACCTGCACAGCTCTCATCATATTACTCTGTGCTTTAACTTTTTCCTCCATGCTACGTATTCTTTCCCAAGTTTCATTTACCCTTATCTGTATGCTATCCACTCTGCCCACATACGCACTCAGCAGCTCATTCATAATATCCATCTCCCTCCTAGCTGATCGAGCCTCCTCGAAAGTAGCCTGTGCCATGGTTTGGGTGGTATCGATGTCACGTCGGGCTGTCTGCATGTCGATTGTCAAAGCCCCTAAAGCCTACTGGATGCCCTGTATGTCGCGACTAGTCCCCATGAGAGTCACAAATGTCTGATGCAATAACTGTGTATCAACTCCCATCGGTGGTGGCGGCGCTCATTCTCTTCATTTTTCCTGTGTTTTATTCTACCTCTATCTTGAGCTTCTAATGTACTGCACTTGACAGGAGGGCTGGGTTTAGCGGGTACCTCCCCTTTTGTGATATTGACGCCAGTAGCCATGCATATTCCGATGATGAGGCTAGAAAAGATCATAGAGCTGTGCCTATCTCCCAAAGTACCCTCATGATGTATCTAATCATAGCAGAGAGTGGCAAGATCAATCTTGTTTTTCCAAACCAAATGATATATGAGCCCGACTGTGGGATCTATAAATATGGTACTATGCATGGTTGGTTGAATATTGTGGCACATGAATAGCCACATGATAGCTATGGAGGGTGTTAGTTCAATTCGATGTCATTCAGTAGTCATGAGTGTTCACGCATTCTCTCGCCCCAATAGAATATCTACCACTTCATTCCAATTAAATTCGCCTGGGATAGGGATTATTTTGTTCCAAGAGAGCTGGTTACTTCATGAATAACCTTAGGTGAAAACATGGTCCATTTACCTCGAATCCATGTCTAGTGCAAGTGATCAGACCCCGATGTGTCAATTTCTGCATTGAAGTTTTGCATAAAATTCCCCCACCAAGGTTTCATATACGAGGTGTGGCTGCTCCACTATTTTCTCCCATCCACTATGCTCGACCAAAGTGACCAATTAAAACCAGAGAAGTCATCTAATTTTATCCGTCGCTCTGGGGTGACTGTCCACCGACTTATTACATTGGAATACCGTGTTGCGGTCTCAGCATTTAAAAATCTCTATAAGCCACCTTTGAGCTCTCTAGTTCGTGCCATCCCGAAAGATGTGCCGACTTTTTCTTTTCCTTTTGAATTTCTTTTTAGCGGCATCTTGCAAAGTTGCGAAATAACACTCATTATGTTACTTATTGAAAAATGAGGCATGAAATGAGAAAATAAAACACGTATCACACAAATCTCCCAAACTTGCTTCAAAATACATGTAAATGAAGTTGGCATCTAAAATGCATGAAAGAAGTCACAAAATAGGGCTATCATGTCAAAAGAAGAATGTCCCAATAAGAACTAGGCTCAAACATGCACTTCATGAAATTTTGACCCATGACCGACCTAAGACTTTCGCCGCTGGGCATTACCGAGAAAAGTTAAAATTTTTCCGAGCAACCTCCAGGCATATGAAAAATTTCAATGTGGTCTACCACATATTCAAATTTATAGTCATTTGGACTTCGTTTATGTTTTCAAGTTGAAGGCCGAAGTTGGTGACGTGGGTGTCGTGACTTAGTCATGTTGTGCCTACGTGCGGTCAAGTCAGGTTTTTTGTGTTTTCCAATTCAATTGCCACAGGAGTTCATCATAGTGCACATTACAATCCATCTATCAATTATAGCCAATGCAGTAGTTACCAAAATGCGCACAATTTTTCACTTAGGAACTTTATCAAACATATAGCATGTATGACGTGAAAGTGCTACAAATTGAATGAATTGATAAATAACCTCTTCCCATAATTTTCATAATACAATCACAACAAGCCACCCATACATTAACCATCCCTACTCCTTTAATTCTTCAAGATTGAAAATTTCAATTGTGACTTACCCCAAGTGAAAGAACCGAGAAGTATTAAGAAACATTACCTTGGTATCAATGAAATTGAGTTTGAGGAATGGGTTGCTCGATGGATGTTTAAGTGGGATGTTGAATGATGGATGAATGCTCAAATGAATTGTCGATTTTTGTATGGAAAAGGGGTGGATGTCGAGTCAAAAATGTTCGAGTCAGCCTCAAATTGTGCTTGTGTATTGTGGGTAATGTGTGGGTGTATTATAGTGGTGATGTGTGTGTGATTGAATCTGCCCTAGAATTCGTCTCTAGCGTGTTGAATGATGTTGGTTGTGTGATAAGTGTGTAAACTGGGTCTTGGATTGTAAGCCCATGGTTGGTTCTACTATGCGGCCGCATGGCTTTAGGCCATGTGGTCGCATAGTTCAAGTGGCTTAGCCATTTGTAATCCCTGTTGGGATTTATGCGGTCGCATGGGTTGGCGGTCTATGCGACCGCATAGACCAAGCCCGGATTGACATTTTTTTTTTTAAAATTGATTTTGCATAAAATAGAAATAAAAATGATTATGAAAATACAAATCACACCTTTGATTTCCGAAAACATGACCTTTGACCAAAATTTTGAGTTTCAATTGATGAATTGACCCGACCTCTCAACGCCTCCAACTATTCAAAAACACATTTTTAAACATTAAGGCGCGTGTATGGGTCTTAATTTAGTGCCGAAACCAATTTTGAATTTGCAATCACAGATTGACCTTTGAAATTTTGAAAGCAAACTTTTGCCTCTAAAGGCGTGAATTCCACACACAATCACTCAAAATAACTCCAATCAATCCGTGCTTAATGCATGTGACTCGTATGAAATGTGCTTACACTCTTTTGACATATATGGATGATCGATGACCTAACTCTAAAAAATGCAAACACGAAATTGAAAAACTCCTAATCTAATGCAAAAGGCAAAATAAATTAAAAGGATACAGTGGGTTGCCTCCCACCCAACAAATCCACTATCTGTTTTACGTCAAGCAATACGTGGAGTAACTCCCGATATAGCAGTAAAAGCAAGACGTGTAGGTGGATCAACTCATCAAGTTCCCATTGAAATAGGATCCACACAAGGAAAAGCACTTGCCACGCTAGTTTATAGTTGATAGCTCAAATTTCCTGCAGCTGATTCATTCTGGTGTCCCGAGTTGAACGATGGACTTTTGTTTGGAGAAGTCATCATCCCAATAGTATTTCAGCCTTTGTCCATTAACTATGAAAGTACCCTTAGTTTCATAGCTGACTTGTATAGCCTCATATGGTAAGACCTTTGTGACAGTGTAGGGGCCCGACTACCTTGACCTTAATTTTCATGGTAAGAGCTTAAGTCTAGAGTTGTACAATAACACTTTCTACCACACTTCAAACTCTCGCCTCTGAATATGCAAGTCATGCTACCTCTTGGTTTGTTCTTTGTAGAGCCTTGAGTTCTCATATGCTTCCATCCGAAATTCATCTATCTCATTCAGTTGCAACAATCGCTTTTCACCGACGGCCTTCAAATCCATGTTTAATTGTTTCATAGCCCAGTATGCTCGGTGTTCTATCTCTAGTTGCAAGTAGCATGCTTTCCCAAAAATAAAGCGACATGGAAACATGCCTATTGGTGTCTTGAATGCTATCCTTTAGGCCCACAATTCGTTGTCCAACTTTTTAGATTAGTCCTTTTGCACTTATTTGGGCCATTAAATTTAATTATTTGTGAGTTTCTTTAGTAATTTAGTACTTAATTTTGTTGTTTTTATTGTGTAGGTGAAGACCCGAGTTGAACGAGATGATTAGAAATAATTTATGCGAGAAAAGAGCTAAAGATAAAGGAAAACGAAGAAGACGACCAAAGATGCAGTCGAATAATTTTATTTTATTTTTTTATAAAAGTGGGTAGAAATTTGGGCGCTGTATGCCCAGTTAAAGCCCCAAGAAAGGAGCAGAATATTTGGCGCCTATGCGCCAATCGGGGCATTTTTGTTAAATTACAGAATCACAGGGACCAAGGCTCCGATATTCCTTTAGGTTACATTTTAAAAAGGAGACTTTTCTTCTTTGCAATTAGAGGCAGTCGGCTGGGGACTTCACAGCAGCTTCTTCACTGCCGATTTTCTTCCTCCTTTTTTTTTTTTTTTTCCTTCTTCTTTCTCTTTCTTTTTCCTTCATCTTTTCACCTTGGTTTTCTTGGATATTTTGGGGAAACTCAGAGCATGATGATGGTGGAGTAGCTTGGAGAAGAAGACCATTTGATATTGAAGAAACCTTCAACTATTTCTCCATTATCAATAAGCTTTTCTTTCTTTAATCTATTTTCCATTGATGTTTTGTAAGAAATTGTTGGTTATTTGTGAATATTTCATGGATAACTAATTATATTTGTGATTGGGGATTATTTCAAATCCAAATTATGATTTTCAATTTGTGCTTTATATTTCTTTTGATTGATGTGTTTAATCCATTGTGTTAATGTTTATTTTGTTCTTCTTGATTGTTTAGGCGTACAACTAAATGATTAAGTTGTTTCGATGAATGCTATTTTGGAATTAGTAGTACATAATAGCTATTGATTCTAAAACCTAGTAGCTATTACACTTCGATAGATTATGAAGAATTTTCGATTGAATGTATGTGGATTAATACTTAAGTTAGTAAATCGAGATTGCGAGTTTACCATTAATTCAATTCATCTCTTTTGTCGTAATGCATTTGTTAAATTAAATCTAGAAAGCTTGTTCTAGGTTGTTTAATGAATAGGGTTGAGTAAAGAGCTTGTTTTATTCGACTAATACGTAAGAAGAAATTGAGATAATTGACTAATTGAGCTTGTAATTATTCTCGAATTGTTGTTAATCTTGAGAATGAAAATCTATTGGGTAATTGACATGAAAATCATTCTCGTGGTGACAAAATATCCCTCAATCACACTTTCTTCTTTCAATCAAAAACTACTTTGTTTATTTCAAATTTTAAATTTTTTCTGTTTCGAATTTATCGTTTTCCTTAGTTAAATGAACCAATTCATTGTAACCTCAAGTATTCTCTTCAACTATTAGAAACTTCAACTTATCCACTGGTCTGTGGATGATATTGGATAGCAACACGGTGTTTAAGGCTATATTTATTCAACAGTTGCTCAAACTGGCGATTGTATAAGTGTTTGTCCCCGTCACTTATTATCGTCCGTGGTTTGCCATATCGGGTGAAAATGTACTTCTTCAAAAACTCAATTACTGCCTTCGCATCGTTTGTTGGCAATGCGTCCGCTTCCATCCATTTAGATACATAGTCAACAGCTACCAAGATGTATTGATTTGAGAATGAAGGGGGAAAATGTCCCATGAAGTCAATCCCCCAGACGTCAGATATCTCCACTTCCAAAATGTTGTTCAATGAGAGAGGTGATGGAATGATGATTTGAGAAATTTAGGATTCCATTTGGTGCAATTAGAGGTCAAAAGAAGTTAAATACGACAATAATATTTTCACAAATCAAATTTCAACCGCATAAAGATTTTTCAGATTTTTATTCGGAGATTGAGACCCACTTTTGACCAAGTAAACATTCGAATTTGGAAAGATCCATTTCTAACAAAATTATATCCCTTTGTGTTAGCTTTTCAACGAACTTTGAATCATCTTAATCGGACATTGGAAGAAAAGGTTATGGCCAAAATATCAAAAGCAGTCGCATAGAAAATTCTGGCCGAAAATTTACTTTCCTTATTCGGTTCAACCTCTTTTCGAAACATCTTGGCACACGACTTTTAACCCCAATCTCAACCAGAACACCCCTCATTCAGCCTCATACAATTTTCTCTCATCCTTGGCACAAGAAACTCCGTAGAGAACTAAAATATTTGGTGAAGCCACGAAGGAACTCATTGGATTTGGATACTTCACGTCATAATTTCATGTAATTCGAACTTTCTTTGCTTAATAATTTCTAGATTTGGATTTTTGCATTATGAATTAGTATTGAAATTGGTTTAACTTTTACTAGATTTTTCATGGATTCAGTCATGCTTTTCCATTGTTAAATTAAACTACCTGTTGAATTTTAATTTCAATTACTTATTGTTGAGATTATTTTAATTTTTATCAAATCCTTCAAAGATCTAGCCATGCTCTTTCTATCGAATGATTGAAATAATTGTTGAATTTTAATATTAATATTACTTTATTGACGGATTGATTATTGTCGTATGCTTGATGTATATGGTCAATCTTTGATCTTGTTCCAATAAAAATGTGCGAATATATTATAGAAAATCTAGATTCTAGAAATATAATTGGAATTAAATTGGACTTTATTGTTAAATTTTCCAATTAGAGAGTTGTGATGAAAATTCCTAATTGAGTAAAAATACATAAATTATCAGTGTTGATTGATCCAATCCAACGGGGAAATTCCGGCGCTTCACTAATTTCGCATATTAATAATTAACTTTTATTCCAAGTGACAAATTATTTCACATAATTTACAAAAACTCTAGTTTGTTTGATCCTTTGAGAAATTTTCCATCTTCCTGTGGATACGACACCCCAAATCTGTACTACAATCACCGCGTTATTTTTTAAGTGTAATTAGTACCTCGATCTCTTAGTACATGAAAATCTAGCCTAACATGGAGAAAAAATCAGAATACATGATAAATTGATTAAAAAGCATCTCCGGATTATGAATTCTTGAGAAATCTTGATGACCTTAGTACAATTCTTCGTTACTTTCGCTCAAAATCCTCTCCAAGATGTAGTTTCTTGCCTTCCAATGTGTTCTCCCTCGAAATTTGATGATTCTAGGCTTTTATATCGTGTCCAAATCGTGTTCTAATAGAGTTATAACGTAAAAAGGAAACTGCTGAATTTTCCCCCAAACTTTGACTATGCGACCACATAGGTATAACCTATGCGACCGCATAGGTGTAAAACTTTGGCCAAAAATTTCCCTGCCTCTTCAACTCTATGCGACCGCATAGGGTGAACTTTTCAATTTATGCCATTTTGGTCCTCTAATTTTATTCACTCTCTTCTTGGCCTCTTTTCTTGTATCTTCTCATTTCAATGATCAATTATGGTCCCCAATTGGTACTTAGCTCAATCAATGTCTTGATTTATCCATCGGGCTATCTTTTGGATATTTGCACTTTGGTCCCTGAACTTTCACGTTGCTTCAATTTAGTCCTTTTTCGCATCTTTTCTTCTGAATTCCACCGTGTCCATCAATATTCCCTAAAATTCACAAATGAAATGAAGTTAGGCCACAATTCAATCATTTTGCTTGTAATTAAGTCATGTTTGTGGTCTAAATGAGTGTGTAAAAACGCACTTATCAGATCCCTCAAATTTGAACTATTGTTTGTTCTCAAACAAGATAGTGACATAACTCTAAACAAATATGGCCTAATAACCTGCCATGTCTCAAGATTGGACTAAGTAATTGGTTTCAAAAAAATTCATTAGTGCAAGAATGAACTCAACATTTACCTGTTAATTGCATACCCGATGTGTGTGTGTGAAACCATGCTAACATATTAAGTTCATGATGGGGTTAGTCCCAACCCAGAGTGGTCAAATATGTCCTTACTTCGCTCGAAGATACACAACCCCCCAAAATTATTTTCTTCACTCAGTTATCCTCTCTCAATAATTTGTGTTCATAAGTAGTAATTAATGTCTAGTAGGAAAATTGATTTCCCAACTCCCCAAATTATAAAGCTACTAGATAAAAAAAATTTCTATCAAAATAAGTTAGCTGTTCTTGATTTTCTCCTCAAGGTTAGGAATGCTGGAAATCTACTTAGACATGCACAGCGAAAAATTAAACGAATTTCAATTCCTATTGAGGATCACTTTGTGTTTAGATAGAAATTGTACATTTGAAGAATTCTCAAACCTTTTGCTTTTCCTTTTGTTCCTGTACCTCGATCTGTCACCCACAGCTATCTAATTGTTCAGCCTTCAGCCTCCAACTGTGATCCGCACAGAGAACAAGATTGTAGGATACTAGGATTAGGGTTTTCTTCTTGTGCTAGCAAGAAAATAATGAAGTCCCTTTGCAGATCCAAAACCCTAAATAATTATTTATATAAACTCTAACGGGCTTGGCCCGTCTCCTAATCCTATCCAAGATTTAATTAACCCACTTAATTAAATTCGGTCCATGAGTTAATTAATCCAATAAATTAATTCGGGTCAATAAATAAGTAACCCAATTAATTAATTTATCTAATACTTGTTAAATTAATTAATTTGTAAAATACAATCTTCCAGTTCTCATTTTGTATATAATCCATCAGGTTCCCAATCACGATGTCTAACAACGTGAATTATTATTTTAATATAATCAAAATCGATAAATTAAAAACACACTTTTAATTTATCTTCAATTCACATCGCCGTCCCAAATTGACATCTAGCAATGTGTCAGGGCAATACATGTGACGGGAAATGTCATGTGGTATGACAAAATCAAATTTGTTCATTTACCGTGGAACTATAACCCCTTCGTCAATATAATCCGATTAATTACGAGATATGAAAATGTGTCAATTTCAATTATCGATATGAATCTTTCACTCTACTATTAAGTCAATATAAGTCAAAAACTCATTTTCAACTTATAAATACACCTTGGCCAAGGATTTCGTTATCAACTCAACTGGATGAAATGTAGATAATAATTGCTTACTATCTAAGAGCGACAAATCCTCTATTGGTCATTCATAACCTTCATATAATTTTTGACATATCCGAACGATTCCGTATTAGCGGCTCTTGATAAAGCAACATCCAACACCGTCAAAATATGACTGTTCTCATAAAAGGCACTATAATGATCTCAAGTCAAAGTACCAATTTCACTATCGAACGTTAGAAATTAATCATTGACACTCAGATAGTTATCCACGTGGAATCTCTCAGCATGTCTCCAATGTTTTGTTGTATAACAAAACATCTACGTGTTCATGTATGTGTCACCACACTTTATCTTGTAAGATCAACTACTTATTTCGCAAATAAGAAATGCCACACGTGATGGTATATCCGTAATAACGATATTCGTATCTCGTTACTACTTACGACCATGAATAATTTAATATTCAATCATAATTTGGGAACTTTCAAATTTGGTGACATTTTTGAAAATTCCCCTTTTATATATTTGTTTTGTAGCTGATATGGATGAACTTTTTACTGATGTTGGAATCTTATGTGGGTATAGATGTAAAAGTCGAGAGCTCTTTTCCGCTTAATTAGTTATTTTCAGGTCTTTAGCTCTATTTTTATTTTTATTTCTATTAACTCCAAAAAGGCAAGCCTCTTTAGCTTAACTCAGTAATTTCAAATTGCTGGATCGTATATTCTACTTTTTTCTTGCATCATCTACACATAGGAGTTATATTCTCGTTAGCTTAACTCGGTAATTT